CCCCAAAACCCCAAAACCCCAAAACCCCAAAACCCCAAAACCCCTGAAAACATATAAAGTGGTGAAACAAAGAGAATCTTAATAAAAATTAATTAAAGATGCTTTCTAACATAAAGATTTTAAAGAGAGTCAGACCTGCTTCGTTGGTGCAAACAAGCAGAATTCCGGCTCGCTTGGTGTCAACAAGCACCCAAAGAGTTGTACCTACAAGCTATTTCAGAAGAGAGTCTGGTTACAACAGCAGCAGAGATTACAGTTATGGTTTCAATCGTTTTGTTTATCCAGGAGTAGCTCTTGGAATGCTTTCGATGCTTGGTGCTTATGAAGTTTACAAGAACAAGTACGCTCCTTCTTCTGAGTGCTGCGGAATCATTGGGTTTATCGGTGAAGACAACCTCGCTGGCAAGATTATCCTCGATGGGCTGCAGATACTTCAGTACAGAGGATATGACTCTTGTGGAATTTGTACAATTAACGAGAAAGGCGAATTTGTTCTCAATAAGAAAGCTTCTTCATCAGGACAAGGAGGTGACTGTATTGAAGCTGTACTTGGATTAGCAGAAGGGAACCATAATCATCAAGTCGGAATTGGTCATACTAGATGGGCTACTCATGGAGGGAAGACAGACATCAACGCCCATCCTCACTACGATTCCACAGAAAGATTCAGTGTTGTTCATAATGGAATGGTGGAGAACTTTTTCGAGATCAAAGAAATCCTAAAAGAATCTGGTATTGAGCCCAAGAGTCAGACAGACACTGAGATCATAGCCTTGTACACCAAGTACCTCCAAGACACAGAAGGTTTATCCACTGAGGAAGCATTCAGAAAATGATTTAGTTCATTGGAAGGGTCAAATTGCTGTCTATTGATTGATAAAGAAACTCCAGATAAGTTATATGCTGCTAAGAATGCAGGATCACTCTTGATTGGAATTGGAGATAAAGGATTTGCTATCTCATCCCAAGTTGCTGCTTTCCAAGGTTATACCAGAAGATATGTTCAAGTTCCTAACAATGAGGTCATCTGTGTAACTAAAGAAGAGATCATAGGAAGAGGAAAGACAATCAACAAAGATGACATCAAGGTAATGAAAAAGGAAATCATTGATAAGAAACCTAAACCAGGCTACAAGTGGTTCTTTGAGCAAGAGATATTTGAACAAGCAGAAGCTATCTCAAAGACTCTCAACTATGGTGCCAGAATCTCTTCCAACAATAGAGTCAAACTTGGAGGTCTTGAAGCTCAAGAGGACGAATTGAAATCGGTTGAAAATTTGATCATTGGAGCATGTGGAACTTCACTCTATTCTGGATGCTATGCAGCTTTATTAATGAAAAAGTTCCAAGTATTCCAATCTGTAACACCTCAGACTGCTTCAGACATCAATGATGATTACTTGTATCCAAGGAATACTGGTGTGCTGTCAATCACCCAATCAGGTGAGACCGAAGACTTGAAAAAGCTTATTAGACTTGCTCAGAGTAAAAACATTGTTTGTTTTAACGTCATCAATGAAGTTGAGAGTGAAATAGCCAGAATGACTGAACTCGGAGTTTTCATCAATGCAGGAAGAGAAGTCTCAGTTGCAAGTACAAAGGCATTTATGTGTCAATCCATTGCTCTTTGTTTAGTAACCATGTGGTTTGCCGAAAAGAAGAATCCAAGCAAGTTTGTTCTTGAGAGAATGGAACTACTCCAGAACCTCAAAATGTTTACAATGAAAGTTCAGGAAACTTTGAATGAAAACAAATTTGAAATTGAAGAGATTGCAAGAGCTGTTCAAGATAAAGAGTATATGGCTGTCTTGGGAAAAGGATTGTGCGAGCCAATAGCTAAAGAAGCAGCTTTAAAAATTAAAGAAGTAACTTATATGCATGCTGAAGGATACTCAAGTGGTGAATTTAAACATGGTCCATTAGCATTAATCGAAGAAGATAAAAAGACTGTAGGAGTTGTATACATCTTAGATGATGAGAACTTTGAATTCAATATGTCTACTCTGGAACAGCTCAAAGCAAAGCAAGCTTTCACCATTGTTATTACAGACTGTAAGCACAAGATCAAGAATGAGCTTGCAGATAAATTTATCAACATTCCAAACTGTGGGCTGCTCACCCCCTTGTTAGGAATCATTCCAATGCAGTTGTTAACTCTACACATTGCTGAAATGAAGGGAAATGATGTTGACCAACCTAGGAACCTCGCTAAAACCGTAACTGTTTAAATAAATATTCCCAAATATTAATTTACTTCTCATTCTGCTGCATATCTTTCATTTCTGTTTGTTCAAACAAGTGTAATTCAATAAGCCTTCTTTCCTTAGGGGTTTTGGGGTTTTGGGGTTTTGGGGTTTTGGGGTTTTGGGG